ATTTGGATATGCCCCAAAAGTCATAAAACTAGTTGATCCCATTTACTGAACATTTGTTTATTTGATTTATTATATTGCTCTTGTGTTAATACATCCTCCATTTGTGTTTTTTCGGGGCAGGTGAAGAGGCCAACGCATTTATAAACATCACTTATGCAATTATTAGAAATAAATTAATATTCAGTGTGTAGGGTCCATGAAATACTTGAACAACTTTAATATTATAAGCATGTACCATAAAAATTAACATATAGATTAACCATGAATTTGGACGGTTTAATTCTTCAACCCAAATAATTTGAGAGTGAGGGAAGTTCCTGAAATATAACAACAATCTTTTTGAGCACATTAATTTAAAAATGGATATCTAATTCATTAATACTAGGTATTTTTAACATGTTAATTTGATCATATTACCACCTTTGCCTTCAGATTTAATTGTAAATTTAGGCAATATTAATTTCATTAATAATCATTTGTATATGATATAGGAGCAGTATACAAGCTTTCAAAGTTAAATAAACTTTTTTGAATTTCCCTATTATTCTACCCAATCACATGCTTCATTAGACTTTGATGACACATCCTGACTTGTTTGCGTAACTACAAATTCCTCTTTAACTTATTCTCCTCCGTTTGATTTACATTTAGAGATTGTTTATCTACATTCACTATAGTTTGACAAACAAATTCCTTACATGCGTTTGGCTTACATTTTATTAAATCCCTCTTTTTATTTCATTAATAACTATTACATCAATCACATGAACTAATAGAATCATGTACGTTTTCAGATGATTTGGAGATGCATAGGCTACAATAACAAGAATCCCCTTTTTTTATAAACTTTATTTTCTGACATACTTTAACATTCATCAGGTAAAAAAACACATCCCTACCGATATTTTGAGTCAGTGCAAGTTGAGTCAAAGTAATTGTTACGTTTTCTTGTAATCATAATCTGAAGTTCTTGGTGCAGTTAAACAAGATTTAATTTCACATCCATAGATGGATCTCAATTATGGATGAGCTTAAGCTGTATTAATAAGACAAATTCAATCGAATAGATGAAATAGGTTACTGCTAAAATCTGGTTGAAAAAATAATGCTATATGCCAAATCTTATAATCTATTAGTAGCAGCATACTTTGATAAGGAATGAAAATGAAGCCACTTTCCTAAGGATAATAAACAGAAGACATTTGATAATTAAGCAAAAAGCATAATTTCAGGGTTAAGATTAGAAGAAGTAATTTACAAATAAGATAATAATTTGATGAATAAACAAGGCATCATCTTGTCCTTATAGATTACAAAATTATTAAGTTAATGAAGCATTTTGTGGTAGATAAATTGATAAATACAAGCTAGTACATTGACTATAGGAATGGCTTCCTGTAAATTTAACTCAAGAAAACAGCATAGAGAATATTCAAGTTTTTCTTACAGGATGAATTAACAAATAACACTCCTTCGGTTGGGCTCATTAAAAATTAAAAGTAAGCATTTAAAGAAGCCCCAAATCCAGTGGAAGCAGCCATTTTGCAAATCGCATAACTTTATTGACTCCTAATTGTCCAAGAGTGGTTTAAGGAGCTTGAAAAAGAAACAAAGAAGAGTTTCAATTTTTCTAGCTTTTGTAATAAGTATAAAAGGAATCACAACGGAATCAAGTTTTGCAAATGGCAATTGTACATATAGATTGATTGCGTTACTATTGTCAAGATAGTAAAAATAAAATAGCCATATCAATGGTCTTAATGGCCAAGACCTATGCAGAAGAATGTTACTTTCCTAAAAGATTTGCAATCTCTATGATTAAAATTGCATCCATTAAAAATAAACTTAATTCAAAGTTGGAGTTGAGAATCATTTATGTTTTATAAATGCCATGAATTGTAAGATGAGAAATAATTTTAAACTTGGTAAGTTAACCATGCCTGTGCATTAAAGTTATCTAGGTCGTTGTACTTCCAAAGCCAACCTATTAAAACTAATATTTTTTAAATATATGATATCATATATATATCTGAAGTTAATACCTTTATGCACTTAAATATTCACTACTATTTTTGAAGCAGCTTTTTAAATTCTCTAAATTGTGCTTAGTGACATGGTTCTTGCATCAAAGGTGCAAGTGCACATATTAATTCTAAGTTCATAATTCGCACCACATATATTTAGTAAAGATAATCCAGCACTCCTGAATCTAATAATAATTCAGGTGGAGTGTTCAAGATAGTTAAGTGTAAGTAGGCTGGAACAGAATTACTAATGGCTTAGCATTTACATCCTTAAAGATATTAATCCCTAGCAATGCATTCTTTAAAATTAGATAGAATTGCAATTAAAGCTTTATAATATAAGAAGAGGAAAGTAGTTTAAAAGCGCACCTCACTTTAATATGGTTTACTTTTAGTGCAAGAATACACACCGTAAAATCAATATCTCATAAAACCATCTTCCATTAGCATAAAGAAAAAATTATAATTTGTATTGCATCTATAACCAGATATACAAGGCCCTGAATATAGTTGCTATTTTAGGCTGTATGAGTTTATCTGACTTTAGTTCTAATGTGATGTTGAAATAACAGTTGCACTATACGGAGTTAGAACTCTTATAAAATTATAAAGACAAAATTAATCACAAACAAGAGAGTCCTATAATTGGTGTAGACACCAAATCATATTGTGCATTTAAGATTTAACCTAAGTGCTATGTAATATAAAAAAATTTGGACTAATAAATAGCATAAAACACCTAAGTTCCACAACATTTTATTTATCTCTTGAACTCGTTATAAGAGTGGTAGTTAAATTTAGCTAAATTTAATTTCTATTATTAACAAATAAGCCATCACTAAAAACAGTGCCATAGGTAAAAATTACATCATTAAGAAAAATATGCTAATACCTTGAGACCTATTAATGCTTAAAGTGACTCACATTAGAGCAAAGTTGCATAATTTTATAATGGCTTTCATTATATAAGTGGATATAATATCAACAACATAGCTCTCATTATATCAAACTAAGTAATTATCTAAATACTGTTGGCTCTAATTGATACAAGTAATAAAGGAAAGCAAGCTCATCATAAGATGGCAAGAAGATAGAACCAGTAAAATTATTACTTAATGTATTTTATTTGCTTATCAAGATCACGGAAGTTTAATAAAGAATATCCAGAAGTATTTAGAATATATAGTTGATGTAGACAGATCGCTGCAATTAACTACATTTAGAAAATGATAGAATTAATTAAAATAATTATCTTTGAATGCATGAATAAATTGTAAGCTCATAGTGAATTTTCAGAAAAGGAACTGAAAAAAATCTACTTTGTTTGTGGCGATACCATATGTGATTAGCCATGATTGTTTAGAGGCATTGATGCCTCTTTATTCAATTTATTCATGATAAGCTTCAACAATTCCTTTAACCTAAATGTCAATTATGAACTACTCCTGAAGTATTAAAGTTATAATTAATAATTCTTTTTGTTGAAATTCATTATTCTAATGGCAATAGAAAATAGATCCTATTGAATTGCAGAATCATTTCCACAATTATCATCTTTAACTCCATTTCATTTATGGCCGCCAAGTTAGAAAAAGTTCAGAGCATTTTTAACTGTCATCATAAATTTTTTAATGAATGCATTCCCAGCAATTTTCTCTCCCTTTATACCGCCTATCTGAGTTAACCAAATTTAGTACCATAATGACCCTTATTTTGAATATATACCCTTAAATAAAGTTGCAAAGGATTTAAGTTTTCGTTTGACCATCCGATGATCAGTAGGTTATAAATCAAAAATACAAGAAAGATGAAGAGCATTTATGGGATCAGAATTGCATGGAACTCAAGTTGATGAAGATTATTCTCTGCCATCAATTCATAATATAATTGATCTTTTTTAGAGGAGGTTTAAAAATTGCGAGTGTCTCAATAAACTTTTTTTAAATTAATGTACATAAGAACTTGGATCACAATTTTAGTGCATGCATCTGCAAATATGTAATAGCAAGCTAATATCAAGCATTATTTCAAATACTAAACACAAAGGACATGAATTTAAGATCCAAAGAAAAGATATTTACTTGCATTATTTGATGAATTACATTTAGTGACTATGTATGTACATAGAGGCACCAAAATATATTAAGGGGTAAAAAAAAGATATTGAGATTCTGCTGCTGAATATAACAGTTTAGCAAGCCGTCACTGAGCACATAATTCATTTAGATGGAGGCTAAAATGATATTATCGTAAAGGGAAAAAATGACATTATAAAAGCCACCATTTACCGCCTCAAATATTAAAAATGGGAGTGGTTCAACTATTTTGAAGTAAAACTTGAATTTATAGTTTATAAACTTCTTTACTTGATGCATATTACTTTGAAATTAGCGATGTTGTTAACAACCTCTTGATTTTTAAAATTAGAACGTATAGAAAATTCTTCAAAATTCCTAAATGTCGTTATCATAGCATAAAATGTAAGATGGTTGCTAGTAATTGCTGAGCTTTTTAAGGGAGGATAAGTTTTACAGCATTGCAATAATTAATTTGTCCATTAATTTCTACACTATTTTCAAATTACATTATATAATCTGTAATAATTCAATGATTCTTCAATAATAAACTTGTATGGATCACTCCTAATAAAGGACAATCTTATGTGTAAATAGTTCAAACAATTTAATTGAAGAGGACATTACTAGCATATCATCATCTACAGATTTACATACTGCTCAAGATATTATGAACTTATGGTGATATTTTTTTGAGTATTTAAATCAGGAGCCTGAGTATGGACTACAGGTTAATAATCTTAATTATCATGGTAAGGCAACTTAATTTAATTAAAGGTAGTAAAATTCCCTACAAACAAATTACAAACTCCCAGTTGGTAAAAAGTATCAAGGCTGAAATTTTGNTTGAATTGCAGAATCATTTCCACAATTATCATCTTTAACTCCATTTCATTTATGGCCGCCAAGTTAGAAAAAGTTCAGAGCATTTTTAACTGTCATCATAAATTTTTTAATGAATGCATTCCCAGCAATTTTCTCTCCCTTTATACCGCCTATCTGAGTTAACCAAATTTAGTACCATAATGACCCTTATTTTGAATATATACCCTTAAATAAAGTTGCAAAGGATTTAAGTTTTCGTTTGACCATCCGATGATCAGTAGGTTATAAATCAAAAATACAAGAAAGATGAAGAGCATTTATGGGATCAGAATTGCATGGAACTCAAGTTGATGAAGATTATTCTCTGCCATCAATTCATAATATAATTGATCTTTTTTAGAGGAGGTTTAAAAATTGCGAGTGTCTCAATAAACTTTTTTTAAATTAATGTACATAAGAACTTGGATCACAATTTTAGTGCATGCATCTGCAAATATGTAATAGCAAGCTAATATCAAGCATTATTTCAAATACTAAACACAAAGGACATGAATTTAAGATCCAAAGAAAAGATATTTACTTGCATTATTTGATGAATTACATTTAGTGACTATGTATGTACATAGAGGCACCAAAATATATTAAGGGGTAAAAAAAAGATATTGAGATTCTGCTGCTGAATATAACAGTTTAGCAAGCCGTCACTGAGCACATAATTCATTTAGATGGAGGCTAAAATGATATTATCGTAAAGGGAAAAAATGACATTATAAAAGCCACCATTTACCGCCTCAAATATTAAAAATGGGAGTGGTTCAACTATTTTGAAGTAAAACTTGAATTTATAGTTTATAAACTTCTTTACTTGATGCATATTACTTTGAAATTAGCGATGTTGTTAACAACCTCTTGATTTTTAAAATTAGAACGTATAGAAAATTCTTCAAAATTCCTAAATGTCGTTATCATAGCATAAAATGTAAGATGGTTGCTAGTAATTGCTGAGCTTTTTAAGGGAGGATAAGTTTTACAGCATTGCAATAATTAATTTGTCCATTAATTTCTACACTATTTTCAAATTA